TTGGAACGGTAAACAGATCCTTGTGTAAAGGCAAGTTGTAGTTGGGGAGACCAACCACATGTGATAGGTGGTGGGTAGAGTGTGGGAACCGCAGGTTCTAAGTCTGTTCACACTAAGCATAAAATAGCAAATGATTTCCAAACAGAATTTCAGTCTCTGGAGGAGGGGGAGCCCCTCGTACCCTTCCAGGATCAACTGTCATCCCATCCAGGAATACGGAAGGTGAGAATTGCTAAGTCCGAGTCTTTGGGCAACAAGCCCTCTTACCTATATTGGTTAAGATATCTTTGGATGCAAATAAGAGAAATCTCAACTAAAACTTATGCAATAGGTATGTTTATTGGTTCATGTAAATGGGGAATTCATAGGGTAAGTTCCAGGGTTGCTCTATTCAGTGTCCTCAAGGGTCCTAGAGAAGGCACTGTTAGCTGGTCACTTCCAGGACCAGCTATTTGTTATTTGTTAACAAAACCCAACAGTGCTCCATCTCCAGAAGAGGAATCATAGCCCAAGTCAATCCTAAGGGAGAAATCTAACAAAAGACAAAGCACATTCTGCCTGGCTTTTTCTTTCTGCTTTGGATGCTGGTTTGAGAACATGATGCTTACAGCAACCACAGCCAACTTGTGACCATGAAGCAACACATAAAGCAATAATACATGGAGGATGGGAGAATGGCAGGCTAGAGAGAAAGATCTTAGCTCCTTGATGAAAGCATCGAGCTGCTGTACCAAACGTGGACATGCCTACTCTGAGATTTATCATTTGGGAGATTATGATTTAAGGACCTATTACCTGGATATTTTGTTATTTGTAGCTCAAAGCAATCTTAGTTGATACAGATAGATTTTTCCCCTCTCTCTGCGCTCTGCTATTCTCAGTGTCACTTTAATCTGTCATGGCATTAAAATGGCTCCAGCAGTGTTAACATTTGTATCAGCAGAACACTGATAGGACACTGAAAGAACAGTGGTAGACCAGCATCCCAAATAAGACTCCTAAGAGTCACCTTGATTGGACTGCCTTAGGTTATCTACTGAGCCTTGAACCAATGATGGTGTCTAGGATATGGAATGCTTTGATTACCTTATGTCTACTCATGTCTGCTCCTGGAACTGGGGATAGTTCAGGTTCAAAATAAAATCTGGATTCATTTAGCAAATGTTACAAGTGCCTTGCTCGTATCCCCCAGACCCACCTTGGTGATCACCTCCACCTTTGATGGATAGACTCCACATAAACTGAAGGTTTCCTATCTTAAGCACCTGTACCTCTCTGCTGTGGGTATTCTCTGGCCTTGGGAGCATGGTAGAAGTGCTAGAAGTGACCAATTCCCAGGAGCAATGCTCAACAGATGAAGGGATTTGGTGGATAATTACTTCCCTAGGTTTCCTGTCCCTTAATGGGACAATTCTGAGTTATGTTCTACATCTGTGCTGTCCAACACAGTAGTTAATAGCCATGTGTGGCTATTTATATTTAAATCAATTAACATTAGATAAAATTAAAAATTCATTTCCTAAGTCTGACCAGCCTCATTTCAAGTACATAATAGCCACTAGTGGCTACTATATTGGACAGTGCAAACATATAACATTTCCATCACGCAGGTTGTTTGGACAATGCTATTCTACACAGTCTCTCAGAGCATCCTTTTCGTTAGTAAGCACCCATTGACCACTTATTAATATACCTCTTATTAGCTTCCTGCCCTTTCTGGTTTTATTTCTTTGCATCTTCACTATGCTTCTTGGAATCTCCTTCCAAATAAGCTTCTTGCTCCCAAATCTTTGTCTCAGCATTTACTTTCTGGGGAACCCTACTAACACCATACTCTCAGGAAAAGGAACGCGAGGGTAGGATATTGTTGACTACAAACAAGTGTCCTCTATATCCTGGCTACTCAAAGTGTAGCCCCTGGACAGGAATTTGTTTGAAAAGCAGAATCTCATGCTCTGCCCCAACTCTCCCGAATCAGTTTCTGCATTTTCAGAAGGCTCCTAGGTGCTTTATATGCACATTGAGGTTTGAGATGTCCTGCTGTATGGGTCCCTTAGATAAAGAGGGAAGAAATAAGCAGAACTGATAAAATATACTTACACAACTATGATTGCCATTTAAACAGCATTTTGTTTTGTTTTGCATAAAGGCTTCAAAAAGTAGATTTCATCATTTTGATTCAATACTTTGATGCTTTTACCAATGTTCAAATATGTACACATATATATGTACATATATGTATGTATATATACACATACGTGTCTATATATATATATTCATTTTTTTGTCTTGGTCTTCTGGTATACTAACTCGAGGTCCCCTTTTCTTCCAGGGGGCCAAGACCTCAGGATAAAACCTGGCTCTGGCCTTTAAAGTGACCTCTTCAGCACTGATTTTTCCTTCCTATCTCCAAAAGGCCTTTGCATTCCCAGTTAAGCACTTTATCATAAGGTGATCAGGGAGCTATATACCTGACAAGGTTTTTACTCTGATGGATTTTCGCATTCAGTGAGTGGATAAACCCTTTTTCTTCTAAAGACAATGGGATTCTCTATCTAGAGCCAAATTTGTTCTAATTAGCTGCCTCTGAGGTTTTCAGTGGCAAGTCTTCTGGAACTTAATAATGCTATTTTGAGAATACCTGTATGTTGCCTGCTTAATGAACATGATGATGGGAATATAAACTATTTTTCATTCCACCAAGAAAGACTTTATCCTTATTCCCCATCTCACATCTCAATTCTAGACTTGCTTTGTTTTTAGTTAAATTATGTTCAAATCACACTTTCATTAGTGTTAATTCTGTGGCGTTTGCAATGTTCTTTAATTCTTCAGCTAGCAAGTGGCTGGTATCCTGCTTAGAGCTGATGGAGGCATTTTGTTTTGCTCAGAAATGTCTTTTGATTATTGGCCTGAATGACAGAGGAATGTTTCACGCCCCACACATACATTTTCCCTTGAAATGTGTCTGGGTAGACTACCTTTTCTAGATACTTCTCCAGCATCAGCTGAAAGATAACTAGTCTTCTCTATATCTGTGCAGTCTGAGTGCTGTTTGATTCTTGACTCTTGGAAGGGCATTGTAACCTAATTTACCGGTAAGATGTGGGAAAAATATTATGTGACTGCTAAGTATTTGACACCTTGAAGATTTGATTGCTAGATATTGAAGTCTACAAAAAAAAAAATTTGAGCAACTTTACATATAATCAGACCTGATATTCAATTGTTTTGACAAATATAACATTACCATTTAAAATATTGAAATCCTTCTAGCCCCCATCCCCTGTCTACCCCAGCTGCCATAGTCCTCTGCCCAAACCTTTACTTCCTCCCACCACCGTTTCACCAAACCCAGCACCAAAGAACTAATACTGGGCCTACCAGACACCCCCAGATTCTGTTCTAGTGCTGGTGCCCTATGGCTGACTTGACTTCCCATAAGTTGCCTGGTAGGTGCCCTGCTGTTACAGGTTATATAATTTTCATATCACCCCTGTGAGCATTCATTAGTTTCCCTACCTAGCACTTGAACAATGTTCAAAACATTCAGAAAACAGCTCTAAAATTTTAGAAATGAGATTCCATTTGGAATAGTAAAAGTAATTGGGTTGACTTTAAGATGGTAAGAGTATCAGGCCACCTTCGTCTGGATGAGTGCAATATTCTTTATTATTAGTAGTAGTAGTAGTATTGGGAGGAAAGACAGAATTGGGAAAACGGAACTCTCTTCTTTAAAAACATAAAACCAATCTGCCTCCAGACTTTGCATCATGTTCTTATTCCATTCTAGTTCCTTGGGGTGCACAAAAAATGAGACCAGGAAAAACGGAGGGGAGAGCAGGGTTCCAGGCTTCCTCTTTGAGATGCTTTTAGGGCCCCCTAGTGGCTGATTTAAGACAATTTTTATTTATTTTATTTATTTTTTTTTTTTAGGATTAGGTCTCCTTGACCCTGATTAAAAAAAGAGAGAGAGACCTTTCTGAATCTCTCCTGTGACAGGTGCAATAACTGTGTGGAGAAAAATAGATAACAGTTGGTTTAGAGGGCTCAGTATTTTTTCACTTCTCAGTTCTTAGCGAAAGCAGTGCAGATTCTTTAGAAATAACAGATATATCACCTTACATATTTTATTCTGCATTCCTCATACTATATTATGTCATAGCGAACTCCTTTTAAGACATTTTTATCCTGGTTTGTGTCAAAGGGCTATAATTCATAGGTAAGTACATCCTATCTTAGGTTTTACACACACACACACACACACACCTATCCATACCATTGGTGGGGCAAAGGAATTCTTTTAATGTGGGGCTTCACGTGATATTAACAGAAGGGCTCAGTTTCTGGAATATTTCACTCTGACAACATTCCTATCGTTTAGAATATTAGATAGGCTACTGAGTTCAAAACTGCAACATTACATTGAGAGAGCAAAGCTTCTACCCGTTTAGGGTGCCTATTGACTGATGCAAGTAATTTTTGTGAAATCCCCTAATAATGAAATATATCTTTAATGTATCTTATTGACCAGAGTGAGTATTGCTCTGTCCCTCACTATGGTCATATTTTTCTCTTTAAAATCCAATCTAGAGAATGCAATATACTGGGTAATTATAATGGAGATGTTTCTTTACCACATGCTTATCTTTTAGTTTCTGATATTATTCCATTATTTCTTCTTTGCTTGTAAATTTCAGGTCTCCCTTCCCTTCCTCAGTAACGTTAACCTTATTACTATGCTAATGTGTTGTAATAATGCATTTTTACACCACTAATGAAATGAAGCAAAGCAATGAATAAAAAGAAAGCCCAAATTCTTGCTTTAACTTTACCGAATTCCAGGGCGGGGGGGGGGGGGGGGGGGTTGGAGTACGGGAGGAGGAAGAGTAGGAAGCACGGTCGACCCGCAAAATAAAAATGATCCCCTTGTTTTCAGCGCGTTCTAGAACAGAGTTGCACGTCAGAGGAAGAAGGAAGCAGCATTCGAGCTAAAAGGATTGACATTAAACTTTGACACTTTAATGGTCTCTAGGATATTAGATAATATTTTATCATCTAATGTTCTTCTCCGACACGGTAGTGACATCAAAACCAGATAACGATCTCCTATCCCTGCAAACGTGCAGGGTGAGACTCATCCCCGCGGAGATAAGCCAGCAGGACCCCGGCTTCGCAGTTAACTTATCCAGAAGCTCCAGTGCAAACGTGTTTTACTTCTTCGCCGGGGACGCCGCTGTGTAACCGCTACCGTCGTTTTGCATTCTCCTTTGCTGGGTCTGCCGCTGAAATTAGGTAAACAGCGCTCCAGAGCTGCGGGAGAGCCGGTGGCGGTGCACGAGGGGTGGGGTGGGGAGCACCGAGGCCGCGGGTCTTTGCCTAAAGAGGCTGGAGGAAAGGGAGGGGATGGCGGAAGGGTCCCGGATGGGTCGAGCTGAAGGCCAAGAGCGGGGTTACTTGGCGGGAGCCAGGTCCGAAGCCGAGCGAGGGGCCGGACCTCAAAACCCTGGGGCCCTCAGCCTGACCTCTGGGGAGTGTGGTCAGTACCGCAGCCCGAGCTCGGCATCCTTCTCTTATGCACCCTCCCACCCCACGCCTTGCACTTTATCTCTGTTTTTGCATCCTTCCCCTGCCCCTTCCTGGAGTACTGTGGGCTTCCCGCTGCCTCATCTGCACCCATGGGCCGAGAGAGAGGCGAGCGGAGGCGAGGCTGGGACCCGGGGCTCGCCGGGCTGGGGAGGGGTGGGGATCCGGGGCTGGGGGGGTGGGGTGGGGAAGGGGACCCCAGAAGCCCTGGGACCGAGCTGAGGAAAAACCCGGGAGCTGGATCGCGCGCCGGAGCTCGGGTCTCCCAGTCAGAGTTGCCCATCCCTCTGCGTTCTCCTCCTCTCCGGGCCTGTTTCCCCCTCCTTTGGGTTTTCTCTCCAGGCCTCCTCCTCCCATTCACTCTCACACCACTGGCCCCTTTGGCCTGCCGGTTTCACCCACTCCTTCC